AGGGGCCCCTGGGAGCGCGGGCGCAGGAAGAGCACCAGTTCCCTCCCTGCCACGTGGAGAACAAGGGCAAGGGCGCCGTGGGCGGAGGGCCTGTGGGTTGCCAGGGCCTCACCCCGCAAGGTCAGGGTTCATGTTTCCCAAACGCTGCTTCACTGAGCCGCAGCCCCACACGATGCTCCCGAAGGAGCAGAGGTTCCGTGGCCAACAGGCCAAGCGCCCCCCTCGCCGGCCCCCTCTTGCTGAGTTCATTCCTCAACCTCTAAAGGCTCTGGGAAGCCTGCCGGCAAGGAATCAGGTCAGCAGCACCTCCCGACTTTGGCCTCTGTTTCACCATCACTCATAAGCATCCTCCTGTACCCCCACTTCCTGTAGCTTCCCCTGGGACACAGGGAACGGACCAGCAGCCCCAGGGAAGACCTCCAGGCTTCCCTGACCTCCAGACACCGCCCTGGGGCTGAGTATGTTCATTTGATTTCCCAGGAGGAAACAGGCCCAGAGAGAAAACCGAGTCTGTCTAGTCTAGGGTGACCTGGCATGTGAACGGAAGTGCCAGGACCTGACCCAGCTCACTAGTCCAGCCCTGCTCCCTGCAGCCCGTGTCTGTCTTCCCTGCTCCCTTGACAGGGCCACGGGCACTGGGAGGGGACGCCAGTGGGAGGGGAAGTGCGGGGTGAGGGGTCTTTCTGGCAGGCCCTGCAGCTCCGGGAGCCATGACTTCTCTTGTGAGTGCCTCCTTCTTGGAGACCTGCATTGTCTGTTGGCATCATCATGAGCATGTGGTCCCTTCTAGACCAGTGGTTCTCAACCTTCCTGATGCCGCGACCCTTTAATACAGTTCCTCACGTTGTGGTGACCCCCAATTTCATTGTTACAAATTGAACATAATGAAATCATAGTGATGAATCACTAAACAACATGCAATTATATATGTGTTTTCCGATGGTCTTAGGCGACCCCTGTGAAAGGGTCGTTCGACCCCCAAAGGGGTCGCGACCCACAGGTTGAGAACCGCTGTCCTAGACAATGCGAGGCTGGTGGCTAATGCACTCAGCTGTTCTGACATCAGGAAAATGCCTGCTTCCTTCAGATGTGCAGAGCAACTCAGTGCACACCCAGACGCACAACAGATGTACACATGGACACGCAGATACATACAGACACACCCAGATACACCTAGACAGATGCACACACAAAGACAGACAGACACACATAATAGATACAAAGTTACAGTCACACAGAACACACACAGACACAATAGATACACATTCAAGCACATGCAGATATATACACAGACACACAGAGACACATGGACACAATGACACACAAACACATGTACACAGACACACAAACAGACAGGCACACTTACACAGATGCAGGGACACACACAGACACACACACATGCCACTGTCCCCAGCCAGCTGCTACGGAGGAGGTGGAAGGCATGACTTACAGAGCTGCTCCTCATCTGTCCACAGCTGGAACGTGATGTGCGGGCTGGGCAGGGGGATGCTCGGGGGCCGCTCTGGGACGGGGTCACCTGAAGGAAGGAGCAGGCTGTGGAGACCACGGAGAAGATTGTGGGATTCTCCTCTGCCCTCCCACCCCACCCGCAGCTCCTGCATGGGGCCTGGGGGGTTGGCAGAGACCCTCGCCCTCCCACGCCTGCTCCGGTTCCGGCCTCTCCCTCTCTGCCACGGCAGCTCACCCAGGCCTCACACTGCAGCCGTGCCTCCTGCCCACGGGGCTCAGAAGCTCCGTCTCCTGCAAGCTTCCTAGCTCTGCTTGTAGGTCCCCTCACAACCCAGCTCACAGGGTCTTTCCCAACCATTTCTCCTATGGCTGGTCCCTCCGCTGACCCCACAGGCAGCCATGCTGCCTTCACCCAGAGCAGTGGTCGGCAAACTGCAGCTCGCGAGCTGAGTAGTGTTTTGTGGAAGAGCCACACTCCAGGGGCCAAAGAGCCGCATGCGGCTCGCGAGCCGCAGTTTGCCAACCACTGACCCAGAGGAAGGGGAAAGGCTGCTGTGTTTCTCAGTGTGTCTCCCAGTAGCTTGCACACAGAAGGCACTCAATGTTTGCTCTGGGGGGTGACGCTAAAGAGAGCTCAGGAGCCAAGTCCTAAGGTCAGCAGGACCCCTGCAGTCCAGGGGAGGGACAGGGCCAGGCCCCCCCTCTTCTCCTCCTTCCGAAAGCCTTCCTCACCACTCCACCCCCGTGGTCATTCCCTCCCAGCAGACCTTACTGGCTGCGCTTAACAACTAAATCCTAACATGTAGACTTAGGATTTAATTTCTACAAAGCATGGCTCCCTCCCTATCAAGGCTGCAAGCTTCCTTAGTGGAGAGCAACTGATGCCCACAGAACACCTGCTCCTGCCAGGTGCTGTTCTCCGCACCTGGCATACCTTACCATCACCTCACCAGGTCCTGCATGGGCCACAGACAGTATTCTTATCCTCACTTTGCAGAGGAGGAGCAGCAGCACAGAGAGGTTAAGTAACTGGCCCCAGGCCACACAGTAAGTCGCAGAGTCAGAATGTGAGGCCAGGTATGCCCCCTTCAGAGTGCATGCTCTTACCCAGGACACTGTGCTCAAAACCACCGTCCCATGCAGGGGCTCAACGGGCTGGTCAGTAAGATGTGCAGGACAGGTCAAGGCAAGAGGCAGGTGCTGGATGAGGCTGGGTGGTGGTGGGGGCCAGACCTGGTCTCACCCTGTCCATGCAGTTACTGCAGAGTTAGCAAGTGGTACCCCAGGAGATCACCCGCCGCTTAC